GGTTTGTCTTATGATCATGTTTGCACACCTAAAAGTGTTAATACTGTGTGGCACCACACAGCTCCTTAAAAGGATGAGAATCACTTCTATAGCATTAACTTGGAAAAAATGGGCATAAAAAAAGAAATGAGAAAAGAAAAGATGATGCTTGATGAAGTATATAGCATAGAGAGTTTAGAAAATTTCTGGTAGACAGGAACTCCTGAGCTTTCTGCTTCTGACTGGCTCTGTAGCTCGGGCAAGGTATTTCTCCTGTCGTCCTCTAGGTCTCTGCCTCTAATGCGGGCATAATAAATGCTTATTTACTTACTTGCTTGCAAAGATGCTATGAGGTTTAAAGTTTGTACAGCAGTTTCAAAATGTAAAGTGTGATTAAAAAAGATAACTATAATTACTGACAAGAGTCATCCCTCTGAAATCCTTTTAATATGTGAGTTGCGTAAAAAAAAAAAAGTAAATTATTTTGTTGTCAAAGATACTTAAGGTTACTCTTCATTGGGTCATCTGCAGATTTTATTTTCCATTAGGTGGCATAATCCCTCTTGTTGAATTGATTGAAATGTATAATAAAATCTGTAAAAACACTATATAACCTCTTAACAGAGAAGAGTAAGAGGCTTTTCAAATAGCCTCTAATCCCTCTTCCCCTGCTAAATGTCTAGTTGAGATTATATTTGATTAGACAAAAACACACACAGACACACAACCTAAAAATATCTACCCTCAGTGGAGATATTTTAGCCAACAAAGTAATACTGCTTGCCTTATTTAAAAGTCTAAGTTTCACACTGGGATTTTTTAAACGTATCTTTGCCTTAGTGACCTTCCATAATGCATCCGCTCTCTCTGGATGTTAACAACATGAATTCAATTTAAGGCCTGGGATTCTTGGTCAATGGCTGAAATAATTAAAGGGACACTATCAACCTGATTAGGCCCCCAAAGTGCCAAGGGCATGAACAAATTGTTCACTTTAATCAGTCAAACATGTTTCTATAATACTGGTGCCCAGTCGTTATCTGATGGAATTCCTTGCAGTGGTTTGGTTCCACTCCCCTCATTCCCTCCTGGCAGTTACCACATCTCCTATTTTGCCATAATACTTCTCATACTTGTCAGCTTCTTATCTTTCTCTTCTTGTGTTTTTATTTTTCTGCTCTTTTCTATATTCCCCTTTTAACTTCTGACTTCTTTAGGAGACAGGAGCAAGGAGTTCCCTCTTTCAATACCCTCTCTGGTGAGAATAGTAACTTCCAGTGGCAGCTCCACCAGACCTGATCACACGCGCACTAACAACTTTGCAATGGAGCGATGCAGTCATTATCTGCACTAGTGCCCAGTAGTAGTCTGCCATGAGGGTAGGGACAGCAGTGGGTGGGCCTTCAACTAAACTGCTGCTAGACTTAATGGCAGATAAGTACAGATGGTGAGGAAAGGTCCTGCAACTATCTTCATCACCATCTCCATGCCCTCTTCACTCCTTTGATTTATATGGAGCCCATTGGATATGAGATGTTAATCTCTATCTGTCAATAACCACAACTGAAATACTGGCAATGTCAGCAACATATTAATTAAATGGATAAAACAGCTCTTGAGATAGGATACAACTTCTGAACCTGTAGGATGTTATTGTCCCCACAGCTAATTTCCTTCTCCTCCCTGTCCAGACCATTCTCCTTCTCCTCAGCCTCACTTCACTTCCCCTGCAGGGGCAAAGGTACTGTGTCCTAGCCTATCAAACCTTTTACCTGGGGAATGAAACGAGAAAGCACTATTTTGTCAGTGAGGCCTGGCATCTCTACTGCTTGCAGTTTTGGTGTGAGGGAGCATGTGAATGGAGGTGCTTCTAATACCAGGGTTTTATGGCAGACAAGCAAGTGCTAATAGTTAATTATGCATTTTAGTTATTTATTTTTATATATAGACAAATACATATGTCTAAGTGTGTATGTGTGCATATATTTTATAGATGTATGTGTGTACACACATGCACACACACACAAAAATGTGCATATGTACTTGTTTTATATATTTTACAATAATATTATAGCCCTCCCCACCAGACACAATAATGTCAACCTTAAACAGTGGTGACATGTAGGGGGTGCATGGGGGTGCATGTGCACTCCCTGACCAGCTGGCTCGCCACTCAGGCAATGGGCAGGGCGGCAGGCAGGAGCACCGGTCTCCCCGCTCCGAGTGCTGTCTGGGGAGTGGGAGCGCTGTGGTGCACCTGGAAGCGGCTGTGGTGCTTTGTGATTGACCACAGAGGGACCTCCCCCCAGTCAGTGAGATTGGCCATGGAGGGACCCCCCCCTGGCTAAGGTGGACCAGTCACCCATGTGCCCCCCTGCCTAAGGTGGCACCAGTAGCCCATGACCTTAAACAGATTGATGGGGCCCCTTTAACCTATTCTGTGGATAGTCTTGGGAAAGGTCCAACATGCCAGTGAACAATGAAGTAAAGGATGGAAAAAAAGGTGAGGGAAAAAAAAGCAAAATTAGGAAAATAGCTAAAGAACCAAGAAATAAGTGTTGAGAGAACTAACAGAACTGGAAAACAAACTTTTATTCCATATACCTTAGGACTAAGAACATGTTCAAAACTCTGGACATCATTTTTTCTTTTAATTTCTTCTCTCCCCCTAAATAAATCCTGAATTTTCTCAACTAGGGTTGCATCATTAAGAGCTAAACTGTTAAGTCTGATAGTACAGATAAGAATCTTCCAGCGAACACAGATTATCAAAAGCATGACCAGCAAATCTCCCTGTATGTTTTGTGAGCTCCTTTTTTATTTCACTGGGAAGATTTTGTATTAAGCACATGTAAATCTGTGTCACTATGGTTATGTCATGAAGCAATATCATGCATGATTACATCTAACACGTACTAAAAAAATAGGACCTCTTTTCCATTCAACCTCATCCAGCTCTCAGAAATAAAATACAAAAGGCATTACTCAGTTTGACAAAACCTCTATATTTATGATAGCTAAAGAGTTATTCTAATCTAGTTATATCTAGCTTTACCTTCCCCTGTGGCTCTACCCAAAATAAAGAAAGAAAACCTGAACATTTAAGGAAGCAGAGGAACACACACACTGAGAATCTGGTAAATGGAAAGCAAGTGGCAAACAAGCACACTGTCTGAGACAGTCTGACATTCCAGCGCTATCCTTTGCCTACACAAAGAAAGGGTCCATCTACACAGTACAATGCAATGTCCTGCAGAGAAACTTGAACTAACTCAGGTATGGGAATCAGAATAATCATGTTAGTACAGCACTCTACTCATGCTAATATTCTCTGTTTCTCACCAGTGTCAATTAGCGCAGGAGAACAGCATTGATACATCTATACTGACTGGTACCCAAGCTAATTCTTAATGACCTAGGTCAGCTATCTGTACATTCCAATGTACTGTGACTTGTAGACATACCCAAAGAGTCAACTTCCACTTGCCAAATTTTCAGTATCCACTATTTGCTGCAAAAGCCCATTAAAAACACCAGGTTCAAATAAAACAACAGGAAAAGTGTGTTCTGTTATTTAAAATGTCCTGTTTTACAACTTCATCTTACTGATACAGACTGAATATTATGGAGCTGTTCAAATTATCTCTCCCAAAGATTTAGTATTTCAGAAATGAGACTTAATCCAACAAACAAACTGCTCAACTGCTTTGCAAGGCAAGCTCATAATTCGCATTTATTCATTTTTATGAAAGGAACATAAAATGTTCAAGCTTTAAACATATTAAAACTTATTAATGAAGTAGCTTGAGAAACAGCTTATTATGTTTTCTCAGGTAACTTTTATAGGCTGGCCAAATTACTGGAGCTCATGGAAGAAATTTACAAGTTACTTGTAAGAAAATATCTTGTAATGCCAGCCCAGATATATCTGAGTTATATGATTTTTTTTTAACTTTTCATCAGCTGAGTATATGATTACTAACATCTCTGCTCTACTGTCCCCTGCAATTTGCACCAATTTTTTATGTCTCAACAAAAACAGTGTGAAGTAAGTATAAAAATCAATGATTCCCATCTTTGCCTTGCTATATGAAATTTGGAAAAGAGGCTAATAACAGAATAAGACAACTATGGCAATGTTATTGTATTAGTGGGGAAATGGCGTGCTTGATAAATTTAACTGGCTGGTAGAACTCTTAGTACTATTATAGAGTGGTTACCAAATTGAAAACATTGTTGGGTAATCTTAAGGGAATAAGCAAATAATGGGAAAATATAAATATAAAAGGACTGCTTTTGTTTTATTATACTTCACAACTGTAACAGTGCTGTAAATATCAAGCCATGAAGTCTAATATAAATTATTTTTAAAAATAGTATTGAAAAACATGCAGACCATTCTTGAATACTATAACGTAATACTAATGCTAATACTAATTAAATAATAAATAATTTCTTATTTTTAAAAATATGCTTTAGTATTTAATTCTATACAAAGGCACACAAAATTGTTTCCAGACTGATCAAACACAACATACACTACTATTTTTATGGCCATTTGAATTATTTATGTTTCTTAATGACAAAAACTCACCAGTTTTGATTCTGGTACCAAGGTGCTTGAGCAGTACACAGTAGTGTCATTACCATAATAACTTCCGAAATTAAAACCTGTCTAAAACTCTATGGAAAGCTAACATCCAGTTCATTAACCATTCCTGTTAGTTTGTTTTCAATAATGCTAAAATGATTAGAAGTTTAATTTGTTAATCACCTGTGTTTTGACTGGCAGTAGATAAATAATTCTCTGCAGAAGTCTAAACTAGCCCTTGCAGAAAATAAAACATGCTAATGCTTTATCAAGTCTAATAATATGAATAAAAAAATCAATCATGCCTGGGTAAATCATTGAAGGTTGCACAATTAATTTCTCCTTAACTCTGTTTAATTTTACAGGCAACGATGAACATGTGGAAGAGATACAGTTATCTATCTTTAACAAGGTTTGGTGCTTCACTTACCAATCATGTGGTTTGCAACGTGAACCTGGATATCCCATTCATTGTAGAAAACCATCTGACACTTGATACACTGGTAGGTTTTCTTCTAAGGAGACAAGAGTAGAGAAAGTTTGTTTAAGTGTACAGTCAAACTATTTTATTGAAACTCAAAATGGTGTAAATTAAAGTGGTAATTTAAAGCTTTCAAGCAGTGTTTTCACTAGGGTTTAATTATTAAGTAATAACACTTTGCAGTTTTGTACCACCTTTTATCCAAGGCTTTCGTAGATTTTTTACAAACAACAATTTTTAAGCTTCACAACTTAAAACGAGTATTGTTATAATGCCATCGTCTACAGATGTGGAAAGTATGACAATGAGTTCACAGAGGACCTGATCCTAAAACCACTGAAGTTAATGGAGGTCCTTCCCTTTACATCAGCAGGCTTGGATCAGGCCTTGGTCTGAAACTGTCACAGCTAAGAATTAGAAAATCCTAATCCCATTCTACTTCATTCTATCCACAGATATACAGTCTCTTTTAAAACATAAATCCAGTCATTTATTTGTCAAAGTAGATTGGGCCCTGACTTTTGTATTATTTACACCTCTAGACAATGCATATCAGATCAGATTTCATTAGGTTTAAAGAAATACAAGATTATAATCTGGTCTTTTATGTTAAGTCTTTCACTTGTATTCCAGTGTCTTCTAAAAATAATACAGTATTTTACATCTCTCTATAACGTTTCACTTGTCCAAGAAATATAAACAGCTTAAGCAACCGCGTCCTGAAAATCTGATTTCATTCAGGCAACTCATCTTTCTTGATCCAAAATAGTTAAGGGCTTGGCATCATAAATCACACCTTTTAAAGATGTGCTGTTCCATTGCAAATGAACTGTTCTGAAATTCTGCTCAAATTAATGCTAACTATGAAATCTCTGGATGATCAACAAATTTGTGTTTTTGTAAGCTGAAGCTTACAAACCTGAAAACAACCTGAAAACTGCTAAGCATGCAGTGAGATTCCTCACAGGTATGAAATTACTCAAACGTACATTTGATCCTAAACACTCAAGGTTGCAATTCTGAAGATCTCAATATTGCTTTTGTGTGTGCAAAGAATGTAAGGCAAGACCCCAAACTTCCACATCAAGCTTTGTAAATGTTACTGAGTAGGAAAAGAGTAGCTTTTAAGATGTGACAGATAACATTTGATTATTAACACATTTCAAAAGGCTGGCATAGAGAAAGCTAATTGAAATATTAACATGTGTTGCCTGGATAGAAACAAGTGTTCATCTGGACCAAATAATTAGGGTGAAGTTACAAGTTACACTTAGACCACACCAAATCTGTGGAATGTTAAGAAGTGTTAAAGTTAGAATCTGCTGTGAGCAGTTGCACATTAAGGGTTAATACTCTTAATTAATTAATTAATACTCAGGCACAGCTCTGACTTGCCACTAGAGGGCTGGAAACTAGGTCATGATTAGGAGCCAGCACACCTGGGCAGGGAAGAAATGGGAGCAGTGCATCCTGGGATGCTGGAGGACAGTGCATCGTTTGTTTCATCTCCATGGAACAAACTTAAGTTACCTTAACACTAGCTGGGCAGCACAGCTTAGAGTTAACCCTTGCCTGAAGTGGCGTAATTCTGAGATATTCAAACAACAGTTAGCATACGTTAATGAGCTTTAATGTGTAGGCAGTCACGTCTTAAGTGACTTTAGTATGGTCTACATGTAACATGTAACTTCAACCTAATAGGCGACTACAATTTTATCTGTCAGATAACAGAACAAGCCATGGTCTCATATTTCAGCAAGGGAAATTTAGGTTAGATATTAGGAAAAACTCTCTCACTAGGAGGGTAGTAAAGCAACAGGTTACCCAGATAGGTTGTGAAATCTCTGTCCTTAGAGATTTAAGATCTGGGTAGACAAAACCTTGGTTGGGATCATATAACTGGGGATGGTCCTGCTTTAAGCAGAGGGTTGGACTACATGACCTTTTGAGGTTCCTTCCAACCCTAATTGTCTGTGACTCTATACCTGGGTTTTGAAACATGTTAGCCACCAAGTGTTACTTCTCACATTTAAAAAAAAACTTTTTTCTCAAAGCAAATATACTCAGAGACCAGTTCGTGAGGGCAACCCTATGTCATTTCTAGGCTAGCATTTGCTGAATAGAGATAATAAACTTCAGTTTGTGCCTGCCCTGCAGAAGCTCTCTCATAGAAATGCAAAGGGTTTTCCAATCTATGCCTTTCTTTTTGTATAAACTAAATGTTAAACTCTTTGAATAATTGAAATCAGGCCCAAAATAAAGTGTGCTTACAGGGTTATCTTTAAATTGGCTTTTTCTTTAAAATTCAGAAAAGGAAGCCATTAGTGATTATTTCCATTTTTTCAAAGACAGTAACAAACATTCTTTGCTGATTTTTTAATGGAAAGAACAGATCTCTTTGCTGATTTTTTTATTTAAACCAACTTTTGTTTCATGCAGTTTAACAGAGTTAAAGCCTTGCATGGATAAATGAAATCATCACAGCTTAGAAAACAAATCTGGCTTGAATTCCATTTGACAAATAAAACCTGAAAGGTCTGCAGTTTAAGGAGCTTGAATAATTTTTCCTTTTTTATGACTGTATGTAGTAGCATACCAAAATCATCGGTAGAAATGCAGATGCAGTCCAAAAACTTACTATTATATGTAGGTAATGTGAATATGGTGTAGCACATCTAAATCTATCACAGGCCTTTAAATAATGACAATCAGGATCAAAGATTTATCATGTTGAGCGCTTTACAAGATGCTTTTGATGCTGACATACAGAACAACACATATTGCATAAATAACAATCTTTTTTTTAAACATTGTTTCCCTTTAGAACTAGTTAGAAAATATTTCTTACTCCCAGATGACCAGCATTATATATTGTTTATTAGCATACCTCTAGCATTATTCCTGATATGTGACTTTGTTCAAAAACAAAGAAACATAAACTTAATGGCTGGTCTTTTCTCTTGTTAGCACAGTAAAACAGGGAGTGTGTCAAGAATTGCCTACAAAAATTATGACTGATGAATATGATGACAAAACATACCAGTTGTTTTTTTCTTTTTGGAGCCTAATGATAAAAAAAATGAAATATTCTGACAACAAAAACCAATAACATCCCAGCACTTACACGCCTCTTCAAAATGATCTGACATATTTGCAGAATCACAAAAATGTTTCCTTTTCTTTCAAAAAGGAAAGAATGCTTTTGTCACTGCTACTAGATCAAAAAGTGGCTCATTTTAGACTCCAAACATCTTCTAAAATGTTACCATCAACTTTTATTAACTCAGTGTTCTCTTATCTCAAAGGGTCTAAATTTGTGCATCAGTGGGCACTGGCAGTCATGGAAAAAAACCCCAATGCTTTACCAGACGAGGCAGCATGTTCGTTCGATCTAGCTCCACAGCATCTGTATAATTGGGCGCTTCAGCAGGGCTTTTGGTACTTTCATCTAACAGCTGATTCATTCACCTATTAGATAAAAGTGCCCAAAAATCCCCACGAAAGCGCCTGATCTATACAGATGTTGGGTGAAACGGGTCCAACTAATGCAATGCCTCTTTTGGGCATGCGCTGCACTCCGAGCTTAAAGTGCCATCTTTGGGGGGAGGTGTTTCCACATCTGTAAGCAGCCAATGAGCCTAGATTTTAAGTGATCAACAACAGTCATTTTCATTCTATGCTAAGCAAAACACCACCTATGTATTTCCATTCTTTTAATATTTTCATTACAAAAGGCCGAATCCTGTTCTCACTGTAATCAATAGAAAAACTGTCATAACTTCAAAGTCTGAAAGTTTAGGTCATAAGTGAAAAAGCCATCTGAAACTCTTGGGTCTTTTTTAGCTATTTGCAAAGTGGTCTGGTCAAGTGGTATAATGACAGACAAAATGAGAGGAAGGTAGGCAATGCCGTTATTTGTTCCTCCAGACAACAGAAAAAATATCAACACATATTACTGATATTTAGTCTTTTCTTCTTACAGCATGTTGAGAAAAATAAGTGAAATTAAATTAGGATAAAGAAAACAAAGGCCATGAAAATTTCCAGCAGTAGAAATCTTTCTGGGAGATGGAGCTTTCAGCCTGCAGCTGGCCCTCTCCCCTGCTCTCTGTGTCTTTCTGAGTTCAGAGTGATCCAGGTCCTGGGAAGACATGGGGAGCAGTGCTTGGTCTACTCTGCCCAGAGACTGTGGGGAGCAGTGAGGAAATCATTCCTGCATCTTCCCCAGGCTAGAATCAGGCAAACAGATAAGGAGCATCCTTCACCACTCCCAGTATCTGGGAATAAAACAGAAGGAGCCCCGGGGCAAAGCCCCCAGCTTCTTCCCCAGGCTGGGGAAGAGGCAGGGATCAGTGGTGGCTACTCCCCTCCCCTTCTGGACTGGTTTGGGGAGGAAGGAGAGCAACAGGGTAAAGCCTCTAGCCCACTTCTCACGTGGGGCTCCAGTGTTAGAACTAAGCAGGGGGATGGTGGCACTGCTGTCCCTGCCCATCCCTTGGTGCCCAAATGAAGGAGGCAGCAAGGCAAAGCCTTCTTCTCACACTAGGCACCCCAGTGTATGAGGAGCTGACAGGAAGTGGTTGGCAGCTGCTCCTCCACTCCCAGTCTATAGAAGCTGCCCTCTGTGCCTTCTCCAGACTGGAGTGACCCCCAGTCTCAGAAAGCCACAGAAGCCTTTCTTCCAGCTCCTAGCTCCTGACAACTAAGAGGAGGTAAGTCAGGGAAAGGTATACAATCATTCATTCCCTACAAGAGAAAGTCTCCCCAGTCAACTTCTATGTGATTCTAACAGTCTATTTTTTTTGTCTTGGAACTGCCATTTTGAGTCCAGGAGAAAGAGCCTGAATGTATATAGACTTTGGGTTTCTACCAGGATAATGGGGATTCTCCTGGTAGAAACTGAATGCCTGTACATGGCCAGTCATGAATATTCCTTCCCCCTCTATTTTCCAAGTATCTCTAAATGGTACAAAGATATAACAAAGGCAAGAAGAAGAAAATCATAATTATTTTGGTCTTAAAGTGGCTTTTATT